TGCAGAGAATTTCATATTAAATTAAGGGAACTAATATCATCAAATTGTACTTTCATTAGATCACTGAAGGAACACTTTCAAGTTAGTCTATTTAATGAGGGAAGAAAGAGAGGAGAGAATTTTGGTGCAATGTTAGTCAGCTTGTATTCCACCAGGAACTGTTTTGGGAAATTTGGAAGATGCAAGTTCACTGAGATGACAAAGAGAGTTAGACCAATCAAATGTACTTGCATTATTGTGGTCACATTGTGTTTGCTGCAGAAAAGGAGGTCTGTGCCACATTTAATCATTAGATCTCAGAATTATCAGTGCTTTCCTGACAGTTTGAGAAAGTCTTTCATGTCAAGCCTTTCTCTTTTGCTTCTTATCACAGTCTTTCTCTCAATAGGCCCCTGACGATCTTTGAAACTTAATCAGAGAGAAAACATAAACAGTTTTTACCATTTCTGACTCATATGCTTATTTCTCCAAGCACTTTTCCTAAAACTAATTTCTTATATAACTCCGTATCTCTGTCTCCCTCTCTCAGATACACACATACACACACACATTCACACACACACACACACACAAAAAAAAAAAAATTGTAAAGAAATGCCTGAGGGGCCAGTATAACTCTGGTATAGCAGAAAGACTACAGGGCATTTGATTCTTTTTTTATCTGAACACACATATATATTTTAGTAGAAGTTCCAATATACTTGTATAAAAAGGTATATACATAGACAGATAGATGATAGATAGATAGACAGCAATATTTCATAAAGTCAACTCCAACTCATAGTGACCTTATGTACAAAAGAATGGAATATTGACTCTTCCTGTGTCATCCTCATGACTAATGGAATGTTAAAATCCATTGTTATAGTGAGTTTACCAATCCATCTCCCAGAGGGTTTCTTTTCTTCTTACTGACCCTTCCTTATCTCTTGGAGACCAAGAAAAATACCCCCAAAATAATATGATTGCAAGGCACATATTCTAACTACAGTTAAGAAATGGCGAGGCCTCTCCTATGGTTGAATGCTTGCTTGGCTCCAGTTTTGTGTTCCTGGTGGAACGTTGCCCCAGCAGAATGTTAGCTAACCTGTTTCCCTGGAATAATGTTTTACCCTTAGAGTAGTATACCTTAGAAACTATTCTTTAGAATCATTTACCTTAACAATCTTATTATGTTTTAGAATGATGTATCTTAGTGATTATTTGCTAATCCTTTAAGAGATATTAAGTTTATTAATCATCCAATATTTTTGGACATAGGAAAATGTCTTTGAGTACAGGAAAGAATAAAACTTTAACTTTTAATTAATAACTGTTATAAAGAAATATGTGATTTTACTGTAGAAGAATATTTAATTGAATACTTGATTGTTTTAAAGAAATATCAAGAATAATGATGTAATCGTATGCTTATGTATAAATGAAGCAGGATGGATACATCAGGGGTTGCTCTCGCAGAATATGCAGGGTGTCTGCCTGGCCCCCATTCCTTTAAAAAAAATTAATCCTTCCTGTCACTTCGTTTCATGACCTGTGTGGTTATGCCAGATGCAACACTTATCCAAGCATGATATAATCTTTCAACAGTTGATCCTTCCTGATGATATATCATATGCAATTCAGATAACTTATGATCCATAAGGTTTTCATAGGCTAATTTTCAAAAACGTATTGTCAGGCTTTTGACCTTATTCTTTCTAAATCAGAAAGCACAACTGAAACCAGTCCATAGGGGTACTATAGCCCATACTTCAAATAACACTTGCACAGCTTAAGCATCACAGCAGCATGCAAGCCACCACAGTACGAGAAAATGACAGACAAGAGGCAGTAAGTAACTGTTGTTGTTGTTTTTGTTGTTGTTATGTGCCATCAAGTTGGACTATTACAGAACTCAAATACTCACTTATTTTCCCACCTTAAAGCTATGTTGTTGTGGTTGCTGTTGTTAGGTGCTATCAAGTCATATATGACTCATAGCAAACCTATGCACAGCAGAATGAAACACTGTCCTGTTCCAAGCCAGCCCATGATCCTTGCTATGCTTGAACCCATCTCCAAAGCCACTGTGTCAATCTATCTTGTTGAGGGGCTACCTCTCTTTCATTGAACTTCCACGTTACCAAGCATGACATCCTTCTCCAGGGAATAGTCTCTTCTGACAACATGACCAAAGTAGATGATAGGAATTCTGGCCATTCTCCCTTCCAAGGAGCATTCCAGTTGCACCTCCTTTGGAAAAGATTTGTTAGCTCTTTTAGCAGTCCATGGCACATTCGGCATTCTTTGCCAGCACCACAACCCAAAGCATCAACTTTTCTTCGTTGTCCAGCTCTCACATGCATGTGAGGTAATTGGAAATACAATGGCTTGTGTCAGGCATACTGTAGTCCTCAAGGAGACTTCCTTGTTCTTCAGCTATGGCAAGGATATACCTAAGATTCTGCATATGGTACACTGAAATAAGACATTAATTAACCAACTTGTCAATAAAAGGAACAGAGCACATATGTAGCCATTAAGGAAACTTGGATGAGACACCCAAATTCAAGAACTGCCATCAGTATGGGTCTGGGGCTTTGTACAGCTTCCAGGTGGATCTGCAATGCTCTCTGCTCAAAACATATTTTCAAGTACCTATTGGGCTCTGCTCATGATTTTTAAGTCTGACTAAACTACCTTTCTAGTAATTCTTTTTAAATATAATATTTATTTGTTTGAATCATATTGAACTTATTTCTATGCTTTCAGTAAGAACCCCCCATTGATAATTTCAGATTTCAACTTCTATTTTAATTCAGTTTGAATAACTTGCTAGAAAAAAGTGTAGAAAAGAGAAGACCAAGGCCTGAAGTAAGGCAATGATTTCAAGATTGAGGAAAAGAGAAAGTGCTTATAAATTTTCAGTAGACAACACTCAGAAAATTTCCTGATTTAGTATATTTTCAGTGAAAAAAATAAAGCTTTTATTAGCTCTCAATTGTCAAACTGACTCACTCTTTGTGTGTGTGTGTGTGTGTATGTGTGTGAAAAGGAAGTAGTAATATCCAAATGATGTAGTAGATGCTTTGTAGGTATTTGACATATGAAGTTATTATCCTAAAGCAAAAATTGTCTTTTCCCCCCCCCTACAAACTTGAAAGTTAAGTAATTTATGTGAAGCAAGGAACATTTTCATCAGGATCCATATTATTACCTTTTTAATCAGTATGTGGTTATCACACAGTTTTATGTGCTAAGAATTATTCACATCATTAAAATTAGGAGATGTTGTTGTTGTTAGGTGCCGACAAGTCGTTTCCAACTCATAGGGACTCCATGAACAGCAGAACAAAACACATTCCTATCCCGCACCAGCTCCATGATCCCTGCTATATTTGAGCCCAATGTCGTAGCCGCCATTTCAATCCATCTCGTTGAAGGCCTTTCCCTCTTTCGTCAACCTTCCACCTCCAAGCACAACATCCTTCTTCAAGGAGTGGTCCCTTCTGACAACATGACCAAAGTAGGTGAGACAAAGTCTGACCATTCTTGCTTCCAAGGAGGATTTTGTGTGCACTTCCTCCAGGATAGATCTGTTAGTTCTTTTAGCAGTCCATGGTACTTTCAGCATTCTTAGCCATCAGATAAGGATGGAGATAAGGAAGTCATTCGCCAAGAGATAAGGAAGTTATATTCACTTGCTGTTTCATAAATTAAGTTTTAACTTAGTTATTAATAGATAAAGCTCTAAATGTTTACTGGGAATTATTATAAAGACATCTAAATTATACCGTTTCTTCAAAATGTGTATCTTCTATTCTGAAAGAAAAAAATGATTCCCTATTCTTAGAAGTCAGTTATTCATTGCTTTATTGACTTGATTAATACAGGACTTGTGTTAGGTGTACATCTTTCTAACTTTCTCTTTTCATTATCCTAAAGGAGTGAAAGACATATCAGCATTATTCTCTCCAGGACAGCAATCCCTCCTCATCCAGAATATATGCCTGACCTAATTCACCCACCTGCCCCCCGCCACACACACAGAGGTAGATACAGAGATGATGGAGATAAAGATAGATAAAGATATGTTTAGGCACAGACTGAGCAGGCATATCAATTTAACACACTGCTGCTAAGAAATTGACTACCCATTCCCATAATACCCTCAAAGGTATCAATGAAATTAGGTGTTTTAAGAGTGGAGAATAAGAATATGCATAATGTAAATTGTCTTATTTGATATTAACAATGTGTTCTTGGGATGCAAAATTTGAGTCTGTGCTGGGGGCTCATTTTGGGAGTTGCTGATATAGTATAACCTGTACTCATTAGGCGGTAACTTCCATTAATCTTTTTCTAAAGTAGATCTGTTAAAATCACCACCGAGCTAATTGATCATCCTGTTAATAAATAACTTTTCTAGGATTTATCCAAATAAATTCAGGACTTCTCTCTTGGAAAACATACATTTTTTATATATATTTCATAGTTCTGTAAGACTTCCTAAACCACTATATCTGTCATTTCCCCTGAAGGTGGGTAAAAGAAATAGTAATACTACATAAATATTAAGAATAATGAGTAGAAAATAACATTATTTTCTGTGATTAGATTAAATAACACGCCAACATTTTTTTTTCTATTTTTTTAATGCTGTCATATTGAAAGATAAATTAAGTATAGTAGAATTGTTAAGATGAATGATATAATGTTAAGCAGTTTCCTTTTTCATTTCCACATATTAAGAAAATATTATTTTTGGAATTGAATGGTCTCTGTATAAAATATATACCTAGAGAGATTAAGAATCATAACTATTGATACGAAAAAAATCACCTTAGGAACAACAGAAATTCTTACTAACAAAATTATTTTTGTCAAACTTCAACTTTTAAAAATCTTCTAATATAATTTCAGATCCTATCCATCCTTGTGCCTTGAATATTTTTCTTAGTTACTGTTCATTGACAAGTAAACATCCATTTGCAGCTTGAGGATTGATGAATAAACCTTGTCTACACTTTCACAGAGCACATTCTCTGAGTAACTCTTCTCAGGGCTCCCATAATTTCCTTGTTCCTCAGGCTATAAATGATGGGGTTGAGCATGGGCGTTAGGACAGTGTAGAAAACAGCCAGAATCTTTTCTTGTGTTGGAGAACGAAAAGATCTTGGGCATAGATAAGTGTAAGCAAAAGGTGCATAGTAGAAAGTTACCACAGTGATGTGAGTACTGCAGGTTGAATAGGCCTTCTTCTTCCCTTCTGATGCAGGCATGCGGTACACAGCAAGGAGAACCCGGCCATAGGAGCAAGCAATGCCAATGAAAGGAAACACAAGGAACAAGGTGGTGCTTACAAATACTGTGTACTCATAGACCCAGGTGTCCATGCAAGCCAGAGTCACCATGGCAGGGAGATCACAGAAGAAATGATCAATGGCCCTAGATCGGCAATAGGGGATATGAAGAGCATATGCAGTGTGGGCACAGGAGTTGATAGACCCCATCATCCAAGACCATGTAATCATCAGCACACACACACTTTTTGTCATATGACTATGATAGTGTAGAGGAAAGCAGATGGCCACATAACGGTCATAGGCCATGGATGCTAAGAGAAGTGCTTCTGCACCCGCCAAAGTCAAAAAGAAGAAAGTCTGGATCCCACATCCAATGAAGGAAATTGACTTGTTTCCAAGCAGGAAGTTGTAGGCCATCTTGGGGACAATAGTGGAGATGTAATTCAGGTCCATGAAGGAAAGCTGACTAAGTAAGATATACATGGGAGTGTGGAGATGTGTGTCTACTAGGATGAGGAGGATCATGGCCAGGTTGCCAATCATAGCTAATAGGAAAATGAGGAAGATGATAGCAAAGAGGAACAGACCAATTCTTGAGGGTGGTAACAACCCTAATAAGGTGAAATCAGTTGATGTTTGGTTATAATTTTCCATGAGGAGTCCATGTGCTTTTTCTAAAAATGGAAGAGTAGATAAGTTAGATTAAGTAAATGAAGCTTTTCTCTTTAATTCTATAGTTTACTTAGGCTGTGATTTGTTCATGATTTCTCTTAAACTACTAAATTTAGCTACTTTAAAAAAAAATACCTCTTTTTTCTGAGCTCTAGATAAAATTTGAGGAGGCAAATATTTATGACCAATATATATCATAAAACATATATGAAGTTAAGAAAATATGTTTATATAATGATTTTGTAGAATATAGATGTTTTATTTTCCACATAATTTAGAGGTCATTGAGGTCAGATCTTATACTTAAACCATGTACATTAAAATTCACTTATAGAGCCATGAATAAATTTTTATGTCCTCAATGGAATGATGCTTTTCTTATTAATTTATAACATTAGATTTGCTGCAGCAGTGTATCAGCTCATGTTCAGGAGCTATATTTCTTTTTTTTTTTTTTTTGAGCCTGCAATGGACAATAATGTGAAAACCAACTTCCTAGAAGTCAGGTATCATTATTTGGATCTTTGATTTGGAAATCTACCATAAATTCTCATATTCAAGTACCTTTTTTAAAAAAATCATATTGATTCACCTATTTTTTTTTTTTTTTCTTAATTTTCAATGATTCCACTGTGGATTCTCTTCTGGCCAATTACCTTGTTGCCAAATTTCCAGTTACAAGATCTCCTTTACTAGGACATCTTTATGCCATGGTCAAAGAACATGCAATGCTTCCTCTGAAGCTCTCCTCATAAAGGAAGCACATTTTGTTACTCTGCTTCCCTGATGCTTAGCTAACATGGTACACTGCACAGTAGTACCTTCTTTTATTCATTAATAATTTCTTAATTTTTTTTTTTTTGTATTTAAACCTGAGTTATCATGATTAAGTAATAGATATGGTATAAATTTAGTAAGAAAATATATACAGGGAGAGATTAAGAATCATAACAATAGAAAAGACAAGGAAAGATGAAAGAATTCAGAGTCTTTGGAAGAATGAACTTTGATAAAGGATTCATTTCTTACTTAAAAGTTTCAAAGAATGACATCTTAATATTTCTATGTGGGTGCAGATGAGGAATTCTCAGTAATGAGGACTTCACATGGATGATCTTTGTATGCTATGTCCAAAAAATGTTGTAGTGTTTAAGTCTGAAGTATTATTTAAAATATAAATTTACCATACCTATGATAAAATCTCCAAAATTAAAAATGGACATCTACACACATTCACACACACAAAAGCACACACTTATCTACAGGGAGTTAGAAATGATTAACAAGACAGCAAGTGCCAGGTAAGAAGAAAGTTTTCCTGGGGAATTAAAAATATACAATATATATACATATGATTTAATTAAAATTTTGTAAGATACCAGAGAGAATATCTTATAGAAAATAAGAAGACAAAATCCAACAATATATTTTAAAAAATGACATTTAAAAATAAGAAGAAAATTAAAAATTAAATACAGGAGAAACCTACATATGTTTATGGACATTCTTAGAAATACATACAGCAAAATAATTGTGGAGTTAGTATTACCAAAGGAAAACATTCTTTCATAACATAAATATATTAACCACAATATTCATGCATGCAGCATACAAATCACATAGAAAAAAAACAGGACAAATATTTAATGTGAGATTATTTTTCTTGAAAATTCTAGATGTCTTGCGGAAAATATTTTTCTTGACAAGTCCTCCATACCAGCTATAAATAGAAGTTTCTAAATTTTTTGAGAGGAATAATAATAATAAAATAATAATAATAGTAATAAAATAAGGAAAAGTATATACAGGAATAGGAGCTCTGGTGGTGCAGTGCCTAAGGCACTTGAGTGCTAACAGAAGTCCTTCCAGCCACTCCTTGGAAGGAAGATTGGGCAATCTACTTCCATAGTGATACCGTGTTAGAAACCCAAGGAGGGGACGCTATGAGTAGGATCCTACTCCCGGGCAGTGAGTGTTTTGTTTATTTATTTTTTTATGAGCAACACATTATAGAAGCCAGATAAACATTGGCAACCCTTTATCCAAAGACACAAAGTGTTATTATGTAGCTGTGTTGGGAGAATGGAGGGAAAGAAATGATGTGGAATGATAATGTGGTAAGGTTGCCTACATATACAAAATGTCTTGAGCCATGAGGTAGTAGTTGGGATATAAAAGTCAAACATTAGAATATAAGCATATAGTTTGAAAATATAGGCATAAATGCAAAGGAAAGAGAGTAAAGTAATTTGAAGTCATTTCCTCTAGGGTTGAGGATGAGTGAGTTAAGGGACAATTATTTACCTCTCTCAGCTATTGATGAAATGCTCATTCATTCCTGGAATCAAGTGTACAGTGATTTAAAAATTATGTCACTGATAAGAATTTAAATGTACTTCAACTCTTATATGTTCAAATCTCCAACTAATATATCACTTTATTCTCTTCATCATCACCATTTTCATCACCATGGACATAAATGTCATAATTATCTTTCAAATATTTGTCCTCCACTAATTTGTGTAGTGTTATATTTTATTGAACAGTAATTGTTATCTTATTTTCTTCATCAATTAATTGTTATTACCATCACCGTAATTGCTGTTTTCTTTCAAGTACTTGTCATCTAGTAAAGTATGTAGTATTATAGTTTTCAAAATTTACATTCACTACTATATTTGTTTCTAGCAAAAGCTCTGCCAGGTTTTTAAAAAAGGGTATTATTACTCACTGGAATTTTAATAATTTGTAAAAAAGGTAAAAAATATGTGAATAAATACAATGGGACAGTCAAAATCATAAAGTACTAAAAGTTGGCAGAGTTTGAATTAAAAAAATAAAACCTGGAAAATTATACCACATACACTAATCTTATAGTCCCCAAATTAATCCTTGATGATGTCCTTAAAATGTAGAAAGTATTTTATAGTCCCAAAGATAAGTAATTTAAACATTCTTGTCTCCTT